CTGGCATTGGAACTCCAGGATTTCAAGTCGTCCGCATAAAGTAAACATGGACTCGCAAGAACGTCTGGGAGGTCGTTGACGTAGATCAGAAACAGGAGTGGTCCCAAGACGGAGCCTTGAGGAACTCCAATGGAGACCGGCGCTGGAGAGGAGTAGGTCGAGCCTATTCTCACTCGGAATGATATGTCTGATAGGAACGCCCTGATCCAGCGAAGGATTTTCCCTTGAATCCCGTAAGACTCGAGTTTGTGGAGCAGCGGGACGTGTGGGACCCTATCAAATGCTTTTGAGAAGTCGAAAAATATGGCATCCGATATGAGTCCTTCGTCCTTGGCTTGGGTTAAGCTGTCCATAAACACGAGCATGTTTGTCACGCAAGAACGGTTTGGGAGAAACCCGTGTTGTGCTTGGGACGCTCGTACCACGAACTAAGCCGACAAATAATGGTATTTGTCTGAGTGATATGTATTTTTGATGCCTTCGGTGGAGCCAAATGTTGAACGTAATTCTGACATTCAAGACTCGTACACTGACTGAGTCTGTCACTTCCATCAGAGCCGATGCAAGTCATGCGTAACGTCCCACAATTTGCAGTGTCATTCGGAGAATCCCCACAAATGTACACAGCGCTCCGCGGCTTTGAGCTTTACTTGTACGAGACAATTTCCAAGGCTGGATGATGCCAAACTACATTTAAATTATTGCCTGGACTCCCTGGTCTTCTTGAGAAATGGTGAAAATATCGTTTGGATGTTAAACACTGATAAGGTTCTCGCTAGAAAATTGTAAACTTTGTAGTAAATTTTGTTGACTCAGAAATCAGAGCATTACTTCATGAATGAGAAAAGTGGGCAAAAAATGTGAGAGATGGCACTCTTGTCGGATACCACTGCTTGAAATTTATTCGAGACTAAGATCTTTGAGCTCCGTGCTATGAGTGACAGGAGTCCCATTAATTGTGAACGCATCAGTCGGGAAGAAGCAGCGGCAGGACGTTGTTTTGAATTTCACTGAAGATGAACTAAGGCCACGGTCATTTGACCAGCAAGTCAGTGAATCTAAGTCTCGTTGAAGGGCAGGCGCATGTGCGGCGGGAGAAAATGTGTACGCGATTTTTGTATCGTCTGCAAAGAGAAGGACCGTCCCGGCAACGAAGACGTCGTTGGTATACAACGGGAAGAGGATTGGGACTAATGGGCTTAGTGTACTTACGGGCTGGTGCCCAGTCTACACTCACACGGTCCTCCAACAAAATGGAAATTATCCGTGAGCCTACATCTGCATTCCCTTCGTCAATCTCCGTCTCACCCAGAACCAGCTGCCACGGAACTGAATATCCCTTCTCCGACCCTTGACGACCGTTACGGTGCTGTCCATCAACCGAAGCATGTCAATGCGATGATGGCATGGCACTGTCATACCCAGTGAGATGGCACTCGCGCAACTATTTTCTCCAGAATCCCGACCGCTACCCCTCGCCCACTCAAGCCTGTAGCCAGAACTTCGAGCAGTTTTCATCCACCCCCGTCTCTGAGATGAGCTCTCCCGTACCCAATGAATTTTCGCTCAGATTTGGGTAGCCTAGCTTTTCTGCCGCAAGTTCGGCTTGCCTCTTTCACAAGTTCAAATCAGTATTTGGAGTTCGGGTTGCCCTATGTATTAGCGACTTGCCCCCATCTAACCTATTCCCCTGCATCTGACTTCCCTACAACAGTGCAACCACTGAGTCTGCTTATTTTCAGATTAAGCCACATTTCTGAGACAAAACTTGTCATGTGCTCCCAATTTGAATTATCCCATCTCCATCTCCACTTTTGCTCGTTGTGAATCTGGCCATTTACCTAGCCACCCAAGGTCACTCATGGCCAGCAACGGTTTTCAGTTTTAGTTCATGCCACCTGGCTGTCTTTGAACTAATCGGACCTCATGCCCATTGTTTCCAACAAGTTGGGAAATAACACATTACAATATATCATCGGGTATTCCTCACTGTTTATGACACTGTCCCGTTTTTGTGCAGTCCGCACCCCCACAAATCTCCCAGTCATGCCCCATTCTGACTGTAAGAATATGATCATGCCAGACGGTATGCCACCCCAAGTTGGGAATAAACCTTATTATTACTATTAATATTATAGATGGTTAAAATCCAGCAAGGCGGCCTGGGTTTTTGGCGTACAATTGTTAGAGCAACTACATGCAGCGGAGCGTTTTGCAGGACTTCTTGAGGCCTATTACCTTGATCATCGTAACCGGATTCAAAACACTAAAAATTAGCCACACTCCCGTCCGATATATAGTAGAACCAAGAGGCGAGAGCAATAAGGCGGAGAAACCAGTTACAACCTCCACACACGTACAGAAGGCGATCAGGAACATGGTGTTTATACCTCACAGAGTTGAGAAATGAAAGCATCAGGACATCATATTGCGTTAAGAAGGGAGCCGTAAAATAGGCCCCTAACAAGCGAGCCATTACAAAGCGGGGTCCATGAGGAGATCGATCTGTCGTCGACAAGCTTGAAGTATACTCACCTTAGAGCCCTCACCGTTTAGGCATTTTTGAAGACCAGGTGGTTTAAATGAGACGCAAGGACTGCTAGTTTTGCCTCAAGTACTATGAATGCTAATGTGGGTAATTGTTTGAACTCAAGCGCAAATACAAAAAAACGATTACCGAACGGTGGCGTCAAGTTTCATT